AGTGACCAGTATGAGAGAGTGTGAGAGCGATTCATACCTGAGACCTTGTGTGACTAAGCACCTATTTTGCTTTCCCGAGAGTCATTCTCCTACTCAGTTCGGACATTTCCTTAATTTTTTATTCCTCTATTCTGATACCATTCAAAGAGACTAAGTACCAAACACTGACCACCCCCTGGCTCATTAAGTTCAAACAAACCACAAGAATTCAGTGCTCTTTTTGTGTGGCCGCCGTTCGTATAATCGAACGCCACATGGTGGAGAATACGGCGCCTAACTTGTACAACTCTATGCTTAGATTTCAGGAGATTTTTCATGGATATACTCAGTCGGAGTATAGGGAATCCTTTACACTGGTGGCAAGCGGCGGATCTTTCTCCCGAATGGATATCTTGAACCGAGTGAATGGCTCACAGATACGAATGGCTTAAACGAATGACGCTGAAGGAACTGCTGGAAGCACGAGGTATAGCGGCAAGCAACAAACCAAAAGCCACGATAATAGCCTAATTAATGGAGAGCGACCGAACCAGCAATGTTCAAATGGGGAATATAGAGGAAACAGAGTTCCAAAAGGATGTAAGATGGAGATGGCCAAATCCATTGCAGGATATTATTGTACAAATCCTGGCACAAGCGACCATAGCACAGAACACCCGGGTTCAGATGACAGGATTACGACAAGGGATGTGATCGCGCTACATGGATCCACAAACGGGCAGCCACTGAAAGTCAACTATGCTGAGTTCAAAGCGTTTACAGATGGTGAGATGAACATTAATAGTTATTTACAGGACTTTAAATGTCAATGTGCATTGGAGGACCTGGAGAAAGCTAACAGGCTGCCATACTGAGCAGCAAGTTATCAGGCAGAGCAGCGGAAGCCTACAGAGCCATGCCGGATGAGGACATCCAAACTATGACAAGGTGAAAAAGACATTGTTGGCCAGGTATGCCAGAGGCATACTGGAGAAAATTCTACACCAACAGCAACCGGATATCGGAAAGCAGCTCCTATGTGCTACGGGTGCAACTGGGTAGGGCACATCAAGCCTAACTGCCTGCAGTGCGTTCCAGACAAATGAGGGCGACAACAAACACCACCGATGAGAGCAGCGGCACATTGCATCCAGAAGGATTATATAAAAGAACAGCAGGGGGTTCATATGTATCACCCTAATCAGGACATCCCTGAACACTGGTCTGTACTTCAGGAGGTTAACCCAGTCCAGGTAGCCGGCAACAACAGGGCTCATCACCGACAAGTGGTACGGCTGAATGGACAAGAGGCCTGAGTCCTGAGGCACACCGGAGCTACCTTTACCCTGCTACAGCCGCACAGAGTCAAGCCGTCCCAATATACCGGACGCACCATTGCCATTAGAGTAGCCGAGGGGCCATCCACAAATTTCTTATAGCCCAGGTCCATATTGATTGGGGTACCGGAGCTAAGTCCCTGGAAGTTGGAATTATGCCAGACTTACCGGCGGAGGTACTCCTGGGAAATGACTTGGGGTGTTTGACCTCTCAGTTTGTTCCACCAACCCTGGAGGGAACCCTACCTGTAACCACCCGGCAGCAGATGAGCAAAGGACTTCTCACACTCTAAGGAACCTCAGGTAGGAACTGATACCCTGTCCCTGGCCATAAACCCCGCTCCCTACTGGGGCACCCCTCAAGAATTTGGAAAAGAGCAGAGGGCTGACGGGCAGCAGACACCCATCAGGGGGACTTAGATCAGGAACGGTTCCAATGGCAGAAGGGACTATTGTACATGGTGACAGGGGGAACAGGGGAGCGGTCCAGTCAAGTGACCAAAAGACAATTGGTTGTACCTGGAAAATACAGTGCTGAGTTGCTCAGAATTAGTCATGATATCCCCATTGCAGGACACTTAGGCATAAAAAAGACGAGGCATCGGCTGACGCAGATGTTCTTTTGGCCCGGAGTTACCCAGGATTTACAAGATTATTGTAGGACATGTGATGTGTGTCAAAAAATAGGAAAAAGGGGTGACCACCCTAGGGCTAAACTCAGATCCCTTCCCATAATAGAGGAACCATTTTACCGGGTAGCAGTAGACTTAATAGGACCGCTAAGTAAGCCCAGTTCATCTGGAAAGAAATATATTCTTATGATAGTGGATTATGCCACTAGGTACCCTGAGACTGTGGCCCTCTCTGATATTCATGCAGAGACCGTAGTCAAAGCGTTGGTATAAGTTTTCACTAGGGTAGGATTTCCCCCGGGAAATCATGTCCAATCAGGGGACTCAGTTCACAGCAGCCATTACCCAACAGCTCTGGCAGAGCTGGGGGGTAAAACCTATTTTAAGCTCTCCTTACCACCCTTAGACGAATGGACTCTGTGAATGATTCAATGACACTCTTGAGCAGATGCTGAAGACCTTCACAGAGTCCTGTCGCAAATGGGAAATGTTTCTCCCCCATCTATTGTTCGCATTCCGGGAAGTGCCCCAGGAGTCAACCGGCTTCTCACCCTTCAAATTATTGTATTGGGGAGAGGGTGCCAAGCACAGGATCCGCCCCGGGTGCCAAATGCTCTAGGTACGCCCCTGGATATGGGAGAAGCAGGAAGCCCTATAGTACCTTATGTTCTTGAGCTGAGGGACCGTTTGCATGCCCTAACTGAATCTGTTCGAGAAAACTTGCGACGGGCCCAACAGCGTCAGAAACTTTGATATGACTTGGGAGCTAGAGATCGTATCCTAGATCCAGGGCAAAATGTTTTAGTCTTGCGACCCAGTAAAACAGATAAATTACAAGCCTCATGGCAAAGTCCTTTCAAGGTAGTAGCGAGGATTAGTGACACCACCTATGTAGTAGTGAGCTGTTCAAATGAATGGATTAGAAGGTCCTTCCATGTAAACATGCTCAAGCCGTACCTCGTAAGGAAGGAAGAGGTATCAGCAGTTTGTGCCCCCGCCTTCGAAGACAGTGAAGGTATTCCCTTGTCCAACATGCTCCCCGCCACCTTAGGTGGAGTAGAGCAGGTTAGTTTAGGAAGAACCCTTGAAGAGCCGCTTACAGGAGAAACGCGCGTCGGGGCTCCTATGTGTAGCCGCACTTTGCAGTTTCTTGAGACCAGCAAGTTTTATGAGTTTTTGTTTGACTCATCAAATTAGTGTGACTTGCAAATCTGTAACCACTAACTTAGGTCTTTGCAGCTTCAGTAAGCTTAGCAACTCGTCAATCAGCTATTAGAGACTTAGGTTTTGGCAGCACTATCAGTTTAGCCACAGATAGGGAAAGACGGATATCCCTTCCTTATACTTAGCCTAGTCAGATATTAGCTATGAGCTACATTAGTTTACTTAGTCCAGGGCAGATCAGCAAATCACTCTGACAGGGCTACTTTGTGCTGTATTTACCTCATTATCTTTACTACCCTGGGCTATTATTTTACTTTATAATTTCTCTGGTTATGTGTTCAGATCTGACAGCAGACTGTGATGCCCCTTAAAGGCACCGTTTAGACATTAAGTGCCGTTTTGGCATCAGATTGTGTCAGGCTCTGCACTAACCACACATTGACTATTGTCTCAGTTAGTTCATTATCAAGTATTAGGACAGATACACTATTTAGATGCCTTGCAATTAGGGATTATTCTAGTTTACAGTGAACGAATAATCTAAATTTTATTAAAGACAGGAGGCGAATATTTGCTTATCTTTCTTTACTGAAACTCCCAGCAGCAAAGAAATAGTTAATAAAGTTGTAAAAAATTCAACCAATCATAACACAACATAGAGCAATATAGTGCCACCAGACTCCTCCCACTTTCTCTTTCTTAGGTTGTGCCGATCAGGATAGTAGAAATAACTTGTAAACTGGAAACATTCTGCGGTTTAGTCCGTAGCAAGTCAACCATGTAAACGGGTAGATGAAGAGGGTAATCCGAAGTTTTCATACTAGAAGAGAAGAAAAGAGACTTCGTGAAAGTATGGTCTCTTGAAGAAGAGAAAAATTATAAATATGCATTCTAAAACTATAGTCCAGAGTATCCTGACTGATTTAAGCACATAATGGTACAATATGGAGCAGGTATGCTATGCCACCAGATCAGTGTTAATTGTATGCCTACCAAACAAACTGCAAATCAATTTGCAAGGGAGTGTACAATGCAATAATCTCAGAGTGAGAACTTACCTGTAGGGTGGGTTCCAGAGTGAACAAAGGGAGGGAAAATATTCGCCTCCTGTCTTTAATAAAATTTAGATTATTCGTTCACTGTAAACTAGAATAATCCCTAATTTTATGGCAAGACGGGCGGCTTCATATTTGCTGTTTTAACGCTCTTGAATAAAGGAACAAGCCGCATGTGGTGTTGGTTTAAAATAAAAGGTGCGAAAAGTAGATTCCGAAAGAGCTATCAATTCATGCTTGGGTAAGCAACCATCTCACCCAGCATGCAATGGTGGGGGAGGAGACCGGTTTGTGAGGTTTAACGTAAGAGACAAACAGAGGTCCGGTAGGGGGACGCAAAGAGATAGTGTTGTCAATGTAACAACGGGTGCACAGGGCCACACAGAGTGACGGCCTATCGGGAAAGTATGGATAAAAGACTGACGAAGAATTCGTCTTAGTGCGTCTAGTAATGGTAAATCTGACACCGTCTGGTGCAAAGGTGACAGCGTGAGAGTCAAAAGCGTGAACGTCTGAAACTCTGCGGAAGGACACCAGACACAGTAGCAAGGCCAATTTCGCAGAGAGTTGGCGTAAGGATAAGGCCTCGTTAGGTGGCCAGGAATCCAACAGTGTGAAAACCTGAGAGACATCCCAGAACGTAGAGTGTTTGGCAGAAGGTGGCCTCATCAAACGAATGCCCCGTAAAAGTCTGCACACGGAAGGGTGTTTCCCAACCAAGAAATTGTCAATAGTGTCATGGGCCGTCGAAATGGCGGAACGAAAAATATTAATTGCTCGGTAAGATTTACCCTGATCGAAGAGAGATGATAAGAAGTTTAAAATGGGAGAGAGAGGTGTTGAAACGGGATCGAGGTCCCTCTCCAGACACCAGCTAACCCAACTCCGCCAAGCGGAGAGGTAGGTTCGTCTGGTTCCTGGAGCCCACGAGTCCCAGAGGAGTGTTTGAGCTGTGCGTGAAAGACCTGTGACATTCCAAGCTCCCCTGAAACTGTCCAAGCTACCAGTTGAAGATGGCCCTGTAGGGCAAGAGGATGGTAATCGCCCATTGGGTTCCTGAGGACTCGAAAGGAGCGAGGAAGAAGGATGGGATAGTCTACTGATAGTTCCAGGAGGGTAGGGAACCAGGTCTGGGCCCTCCATAGAGCGGTGATTATTACTACCCTGACTTTCTGCTCTTTGAGCCGGTGAAGGGTCAGTTGAATCATTGAGAAGGGAGGGAAAGCATAGGCTCCCTCCCGTGGCCAAGGTTGCAGAAAAGCGTCGACTGCCAGAGATAGAGGGTCTGGTAGCCAGCTGAAGAAATCGTCTGTCTGACGATTCAGGCGAGATGCAAAGAGGTCGAGTGTGAGAGGTCCCCGTAGGAAGTGGATGTGATGGAACAGGAGAGGGTCTAATTGCCAGTCGCTGGCATCCCTCCAATGACGTGAAAACCAGTCCGAGACTAGGTTGTCGGACCCAGGGAGATACTCCGCTCAGATGGACAAATTTCGGTCCAGACAAAACTGGTACAGGTCCTTGGTGAGGTCGGACAGAAGTTTGGATTTGGATCCTCCGAGTCGGTTGACATATCGCACTGCGGAGACATTGTCCATCCGTAGTACCAGGGAGCAATTGGAGGCGTCCTTGGCAAAGCTACGGATCGCGAAGGATCCAGCAATGAGCTCGAGACAATTTATGTGGAGAGCATGTTCCAATGGGGACCACAGACCTCCTGTGGAGGTTTGGGCACACGTAGCACCCCAATCCAAGAGGCTTGCATCGGATTCCAGAATAAAATCTGGTTGAGACCCGAAAATCGCTTTCCCATTCCAGGCTTCCATGTTGCGAAGCCACCAATGAAGTTCGATGATAACTTCGTCTGTCAGAGAAATGAGTTGATCGTAAGAGGTTAAGCGATGCAAGTAGGTTGTTTTCAACTGTTGCATCGCTCTGTAGTGTAAAGGCCTGGGAAATATAGCTTGAATTGATGCGGACAGGAGACCCAGAATGTGTGCAAGGTCGCGGAGCCGAGGCTGTTGCGAAGAAAGCAACTTTCGGATTTCTTTCTTTATGTTTTTTATTTTGGGGTAAGGCAGCTGCAAAGTTGCCTGGACTGAGTCTATTTGAAAGCCCAGAAATTGGACTACCTGAGATGGTTCCAGGTCTGATTTCTGGAAGTTTATGACAAAGCCAAGGTTTTGAAGGAGAGCAGAGGTCATGTGCGTATGTTTGCGAAGCAAATGTTGGTCTTGGGCCATGATCAGAATATCATCCAGATATATGATGGAACGTATTCCCCACGAGCGGAGTAGTGCCATGACTGGCATCATTAACTTGGTGAAACACCAAGGGGCGGTGCAAAGTCCGAAAGGAAGGCAGGTGAACTGCCAAATTTCTCCCTGCCAGAGGAATTGAAGGAACTCACGATGACTTGGTGCGATTGGGACCGTGAGGTAAGCATCCTTGAGGTCGAATCTGGAGAACCAGTCTCCCACGCAGAGTAGATACCTTCCATCTTGAAATGGCGATATGTGATGAACTGATTCAGTTCTTTGAGGTTGATAATAGGACGGTGATCTCCCGTCTTTTTCCGTACCAGGAACATGTTGCTGATGAAAGTGTAAGGGAAAGGCGAGGGTTCGATCGCCCTTTTGTCTAATAGTTTGTGCAACTCTGACTCTAAGGTTAGTTTGTCTGTTTGTGACATCCCTAAGGGTGTTGGAGGGTGGCTCTGAGTGGGGTGTGTGAGAGAATCTATTTTGAAACCCCTGACTGTATGGAGGATCCAGTGATCCTGAGAAAGTAGTTTCCACTGTTGGAAAAAAAGGGTTAATCGACCTGCAATTGACAAATTTTTTAAATAAGTAAGGTCCATTACCTGAAGCAGTGCGTCCGCGCAGGGATGCCGAGCCACGTCCTCGAATAGAGCATCTGGAGCTGAAGAGCTGTCTGTGGTAGGGTCTTGTGGGTCCAGAGGACCAATGATCTGTGGGTTGGGGCCTGTGGCCTGCAAAGGCTGCTCTACTGGTAGCTCAGCCCCTGAAGCGACCAGCTCTCCCGGAAAAACGATGAGTTTGGGAGCGGAAGACCCTGCGTAGTGAGGACTGGGCTTTATTAAGCGTTGTAAATACAGAGACATGCTTAGAGAGGTCTCGCATAAAGCTGTCACCAAATAGAAGACCATCTGCATCTGGTCCCAATTCCTTAGAGCTTAAGTCTACTAATTTAGCGTCAATTTTATAAAGTGCCGCTTTTCGTCTTTCTATTGAAATTGCCACGTTTGCATTGCCTAATAAGCAAAGAGCTCTCTGAGCCCATTCTCTGATAGTGTGTGGATCGAATTCACCACTAATGAGTGCCTCATCTGCCAGGATAAAAATCTGGATTATGGGACCTGAAATGTCCAAAAGCTTGTCTTGGGCTGCTTTTAACCCTTGCTCTATACCCTTACGAGGGTCTTTGCCAGATTTAGTCAAAAAGGTGACCAGCATGGGGTCGAATTCAGGGGTAGTGGCAACTTTGCCAGGAATAGTAGGTCTTGGGCATTCAGCCCTTAATTTATTTCTGAGTTCTTTTTTGAGGGGCTTGCGAAGCCACATTTTGCTGTAACTGGCAATGTGATCAGGAGGGGTCCATTCTGCAGACCGTGGGTGACGAATCACCCTTGGATCAAAAAGGGGAAGGCCTGAAGCATCCAGGAGGGTGTCTGAAGCAGGCTCTTTAGTTGGAGGGGCACCTTTAGCATCTTGAACATGAAAGGTTTCCTTAATAAACTCTGATGTTGAGGAATCCTGGGGCATATTCACCGTAGGATCCTCATCAGAGTAGATGGTGTCATAGTCGTTGAAAATATGACCAGCTAGTCTGGAAGTAGAGCCCTCTAGAGGGTCTGACGGGTTCTGCATAGTAAATGTTTGAGAATGTTTGAAGATTTTCACAGGAGCTTTGCCTTTGCCTTTCCAGGGTCTTTTGCGCAGGGCACTTTCTTGGTCTGAAAGGTGAGAATCCTCTGAGTCAGAGGGTTGGCGTGTAGAGGGATGAACCTCTGTAGTAGATTGCTCATGATAAGCTGCCAGAGCTTTGGGAATGGACTCTGCAATGGTGGCAAATAGCCAATCCCGAAGTTCTGCAGAAATAGCAGGGTCTTGGTGTTCCGACTTTTTTTATTTATTTTTTTATTTGCATTTTATAGAATTCACAGTCTTATTACAGGTGTACAGGGTATGCAGGTTACAGTCACGTTTACAGCATAGAGAATACACTATATTGAGCAGCATGCATTGTCAATGTACCATCCTAACTATACAGTGGTGATACTTGTGTTGAGTATACATGTAGTAGTGACATTAGAGTTACACCGTTAAACACATAACAAAATATTCTGACATTGCTATTGTGCCCATATTTGTGTTGCTCTCTTTCTTGTCCAATGGGCGTGACAGTTAGAGTTGTCTTTCCACTCTGCCAGTCTCGGTAAGTGCTGAGCTGTGAAGCAACCTCCATCTCCCTGGTGCTCAGCTACTTTTCTGGTGAAAAAGTTACAAACTTGGGGGGCATAACCTGGGTATAATACAGGGAAAGAGGGGGAGGTAGAGGAGGGGGGGGGGCGGGAGTTGGTCCCTTAGTCTAGCCCAGCGTATAGGCCGGTTCTTCGGCCCTAAGAATTGCGCCAGAGTACTCATCCAGCTTTAATTAGGAAGAGGTGGTGTGTAGGTGGTGTGTGGGCTCCCTTGTGTTCAAAGATGTGGTGCCGAGAAGGGGTGCTTATTATCCTTTCCCTAAAGCATTGTTCTGTGGACTACAGCGTAAAGGGTGTGTAGAGTGTTTAAAGGTCTGCCGTTTTTTGTTGGTATGTGTCCCATTTTTCCCACGCCTCCTTCCAAAATTTTTGTGGTGGATTATTGGATCTGGCCATTATCTCGTACCCCTTTATGGTTTCAATGTTTGTTATGCAGCTCTGTATGCTGGGGGTCGTCTGCTTTTGCCAGTGTTTGCTGATTTGCAGCAGAACAGCCAAGATAATGTGATACATTAAATATCGAGATGATTTTGTATGGCTTGGAGGCATATACTGTAGGAGATAATGCTCAGGAGTGTGTGCGAGAGCTACACCTGTAGTGTTTTTAATTAGGGCCTGTGTGTCCGTCCACAGTGGTGTCAGGACCAGGCAGTCCCACCATATGTGTAGCATGGTGCCCTGGGCTTTGTTGCATCTCCAGCACAGTCCTGTATTCTTAGGTGTCATATGTTTTAGACGGGTTGGTACTAAGTACCAGCGGTATAATACTTTCCTGGCTAGTTCTAGATGGGCTGTGCTGAGTGTGAGTTTCTTATTCTCATACAATATACACGACCACTGCTCTTTTGTTAACTGTCTTCCTAGTTCCGCTTCCCATGCTTTTACAAACTGTAATGTATGTGGGTCTAGTGCTCGATGATGGTGATTGTACAGTGTGGAGATTAGCTTAAGTGGTTTTTTCGTCTGTGTGCAAAGGCTTTCTAATGCAGTGAAAGTGCTCCACCTGTCTCCTGCAGGTAGTACATTTTTATTTTTCTGCAACCATGAGTGTATCTGTCTGTGCGCAAATGCTGCTGCGTTGGGTAATTGGTATGTATTTTGCAGTTGTCTGAAGGGGATGAACTCTCCCCGATCAAACAACTGATGTAAGTATATCAGACCCCTACTACTCCAGGACGCCATGTTCAATGAGGGTATTAGTCCATAAAAGGAATCTAGGAGTAAGGCTGGAGAGAGCCCCCCATCGAGTCCTTGTTCCTTATGAAACCTGTCCCATTCTCATAATGTTGTGGCCGTGAGTGGTGACATATCGTTATATTTTTTCCTAAGCTGTGGTGGAGTCCAGGCTAGGTGCGTTAGGTGTTGTCCCCCAGTGAGTTCTGCTTCTACGGTTACCCAAGGGGATGGTTTGTCATGTTGGTGTAGTTCGTTGACCAGCGGTGCAAGTATAGCTGATCTGTAATACGTGGCCAAGTGTGGTAATCCCATGCCCCCTCCTTTATATTTGCGGTACATGATGTTTGCCGCTATTCTGGGTTTCTTGTGGGACCAGACAAAGGTATTAATCAATTGTTGTGCGTCGTGAAGAAATTTTTTTGAGAGCCTAACTTGTAATGTACGAAACAGGTATTGCAG